CGGACGCTTAACCGACTGCGCCACCCAGGCGCCCCTCCCTTCTCATCTTTTATCTCATCTTTTACACAGCTCCACTTTAGTCTAAGTCACTAACAACTCACTGCAAATATTTTAGTAGTTTCTTCACTGGTATTCCCTGCTTCCATTATAGCCTTTCCCCATATGGTCCATTATTGACTAAAAGGTTAAGTCAGGTCATGTTCGTCCTCTGCTCAAAACCCTCCAATGGCTTCCATCTTCCTCACAATAAAAGCTAAAGTCGTTCAGAAGCCCATATTATAACACAAGGAATGAACTTGTTTCCTTAGCTGGTTTCCTTTGCTGATACCTCCAACTCTGCCACAAGTCATGTAGCTGTGAGTGGAGAACTATTAGAAGTTAATGGTAGAAGAGTAAAAAGGATGGGTGGAGATATTCACTTCCACCCTGTGGTTCCAGGGAGTGGTCAGGACATCCCAGGAAAGGTGGGGGGGGGGGTACTGAAGTACAGGAGTTCCTGAGGGTAGCAAATGTGGATGTGGCCATTGGTCCTTACAGGAGTAGGAGATTCAGGGAGAAGTATTTGACCCAGAGGACAAATGTGAAACCACCTATCCCTGGCATTAAAGGGAAGTGCCCTTGCAGGGAGCAGGGAAAGCTGATCCTTAGAGTACAGAGTGGTTGGCAAATCAAACTGCATAACAAAAAGTATGACTGAGATATGCAGGAGACACCATGTTTTTAGTCCAACTGTGGAGAAAAAAAGAAAGACAGTGTTCACCCCACTTTTTTAAAAGAGTCACTTGTCTTAAAAAATAAATAAAAAGTTCAAATTCAGGTAATTTATGTAAGAAAGAAAGCATGCAAATCTGGAATAATATATTTAGGAAAGTTCAAGTCCTACTTCTAATTATTTTTTTTAAATTGATCCAAGAGATTTCTCAGAAATCTATGATATTGCTGTAACTGAGCAACTTCCTTCAAATTTTTTTGCCTTCTCTGTGCACTCCATAAAGAAATAGCTTCCTTCTCCCACCCTCATACCCTCTCCTCCTACTTTATTCTTCTACACAGATCTCCATCTGACCTACAATATGTTTATTTCATAACTGTGATTTATCTGTTTATTTCTCCCAGAATGTTGGCTCTGAGCATTCTAGAATGCTGTATCCATAACACTGGAATTGTGGTTGGCACAGAGAAGGCAACTGACAAATATGTGTTGAATGAATGGATGAGCCAGAATCTCTTTGTAAATAATTTCTTCTGGAGATATTTGAGTTTCAAAGAAGCTTCGGTTTCTGTCAGACATTCTACATAATGAGAGAGGCTGTCTCCTTTGGTGTTGACACTACACAAAGCATCATGTACATTGGCCCCAGAGATTAAATAAAAGGTGTGATGTTATGAGACAATTCTGACAATTAGAAGGGGGGAAAGTAAATTTTCAGAGTAAAATGGTGTTTGCAAATCTTAACATTCCAGCGAGCAATTTCAGTGGGGAAAAAAATACCCTAAAGGGAAGGCAAGGGAGGCAAAACATTCTGTAGCCTCATTAATTATACCAGGAACATCAGGTTGCTGCTGGAAAAAATGTCTACAGATGCAGTCCTGATGGAGAATATTACAGTGTTCAGAAATCAAAATCCCTAAAGAAAATTAGTGGGAAGGAATGCACAGAGAGAAGGAAATTGAATATGTTTTAAACCTAACTGCACAAAGGTTTAATACAGTATAAGATATGTAGATTGACTTGCAATATAAAATCTATATTCATTCTTAGTAAAAGCCTCCCTGAAAGTCACTGCCATTTTTTGAATGTTTTTGAGAGTTCATGAATCTCGTGAATTGGTTATTTTTTAAAGTGAATATGGTTGTATTTAAGGAACAATATTTCAAAAATATTTTGCAGGTAGTTAATATTTAATTATCTGTATTCATTCATCCAACCATCCAACCAACCATCCGTCTACATTTTGAGAAATGAAGTATATACAACTCACAGATTACCAGCAGTATACCAGAATAAGAACTCATGGTAGGCAAATTAATGCTGTCATGCAGTGTTTCACAGAACTGAAGTCTCTCCAAATGTCTAAGTTATACTACAGAAGCAAATGGGTGACTTGGTTCTTAAAGAGAGAAAATAGATTAGGTCTGTAACACGGTTTTGGAGAGTAGTTTCTAAAAACCTCAGACTGTTAAAAGTGGTTGTCACTTCATTCATTCCATTATAAGAAATGAAGTCGATGTTTTTGTAAATGTTGGAAATAAGGCTCTACCATGATCACTAAAGAATAGAGGTCAGACCATTACTTCTGGTGTAATTCAGGGAACTGTCAGACCACTGAGGGTTAAACATTTATAAATCACAATGATGACTGGCTTGACAGAACCTCATAGTTGTGGTCCTTGACATGAGAAGTTCTGTAAGAGCACAGATATGACATACAAACTTAAAAGTATTTTTTGACTCATAATCTTAAGTCTTGAAGGAAATGTATGAAGGGAAAGGATCATCACTAGTATCCTATAAACTATAAACATGAAAAAAGAAAGTTCTTTCAATTATTTTCATTTTAGCACTCTTTTCATGGCAACTGGACTATTCGAGAGAAAGCATCAAAGTTGAGTCCAGGGTTCCCAGAAGTTCACAGCTTCCAGTTTGATAGAGCTTGCTTATATTATAGTTGTTTCTGTATGTATCTGAAAGGCCTGCTATGTTAGTGAATTAGCAACTCCTTAATGGAGAGGCCCTTTCTAATTTACCATTCTAGTGCATAACTAAATAATTGTTATTTATTGATATTATTTGAATTTTTTACTTTAAAATCGTTTCCTTCCTTAATTGAGCAGCTACCATGTGCATGGTGGTGAGCTAGGTGCTACTCAGCATAAAAGAGGTTAAAAAGGTGCTAAGGATGGTTGGAAAAGAGATGGGGCTGGAAGTGACATGGGATGAGGCTAAGAGAGAATGAGCTGGGATAAGGTGTTTAGGTAAAATAAAAAGTTGTTTCACCTGTATTTTCTTCTGCAAAGAAATTATATCAAATGCCTCATTCCTAATGAAAAATCTCCATAATTCTTAGTAGATGCCATTATTTGGAAGTGTTTGAATTACACTTCCACTTGGCAGCTGAATTATTTTTAGATGTAATTTTAACACGTGTTAAATATGACAAAAACCCAGTCTTTTGCAGGCATCAGTACAATATCGTAAGGGTTCAGAGTGAGGTGACAAGCATCAGAAGTTTCTATCCACCATACCTTGGCCACTTCCTCTTGGAAAGCCACGAGATTCAAATGGGAGATGTTAACTAAGTCAGGCCCGTACACCACCGTTATCATGCGATGCTCCAAGCGTCCGATGTTCCCCACATCCAAAAGTTCACGTAATTTGGGGTCCTGGATAATAAACGTTGAAAAAAGTTAGTCTATAGCTAGAGATTCCAACATGGTAGCATAGTTCCAAAAGTGTTACACCTACAATGTCTTCAAAACAAAACTGCCTTTTATTAGTACTAGAAAATGGTAGGATTGAAGTCCCTAAGCCCATGATGGACTAGAGAGGTGAAGTAACTTGCCAAAAGTTTGTGGAAAGAGAATTTCTGACTCAAGACTTATGGTGTTCATGTCATTATATGAAGAGAAATGAATCAGAGAAAGACAAACACTGTATGATATCACTCACATGCATAATCTCAAAAAAGCAGAATTCATAGAAACAGAGAATAGAGTGGTAGCTACCAGGGGCAAGGGTATGTGGAAAATGGAGAGATTTTGTTTAAAGAGTACAAACTTCCAGATTCAAGATGTAAATGTTTTAAGGACCTAATGTACAGCATGGTGATTACAGGTAAAAATATTGCTGGAAAGATGCTAATAGAGTAGATCTCAAGTGTTCTCACCAGAAAAAAAGAATGGTAATTATGTGATATGATGGAGGTGTTTGCTAACTTTATGGTGACAATCATATTGCAATATATACTTGTACCAAATCATCATGTTGTACATCTTAAGCTTACACAATATTACCTGGTAATTATATCTCAATAAACCTGAAAAAAGAAAAAGACTTATGGTCCTTGGTCAATGGCTCTTTCTCATACATCATTTAGTAGCAGCATATTTTTATGTGCCATAATTCTCCCTTAATTTCCTCCAATCATCCCCTGACTCAAATATTGAAATACAAAATCTCATCTCTCTCTTCAGTTCATGACACATTAAGACGAAGAAGATGATTCTTATGGAATCAAAACATGATAATGCTGTCTTGAGTTGAGGCAGAAACATGGCTGAGAATCACAGTTGTGGACCCTCTCCAACACTGAGTTCATTGTAAAGAAATAGGCTGTTAGCAAGATGGTGGCACCTGCCATGAATATGTTCATTTCAATTCTATCCTCAGAATGTACTGGGATTTGGACATAGAGAACTTTTGCTGTCTTTTCAGAGCAAGTTTGATTCTCTGGGGCACCGTAAGTGTGGATCCCTTGGCAATTTAGTCATGATGGGAAATGGAGGTTTCTAAAACCTCCTGAATTCAGAGTAAGACCTAAAATAAAACTCATTCATCTTGGCTGAATTTATTTTCCTCTCATATGAAATGAGAGATCCATGCAGAAAATTAATCAAACCAACCACTTAGCAAATCTGCAGCCAGCTTCAAAGCAAGAAATAAAATTGTATTCTTATTTATTTAGCAAAATGCTGGACCAACAAGGCCTGGTTATTCTGACCTCCTTTCTAAGGTTTTAATTTATAGCATCCTTACAAAGAAAAAATGGACTTAAAAAAAAAAAGAAAGAAAATAAAATCTTTCCAGCTAAATAATTTGATTTGGTGCCATTAATTATGTCTTAAAAGGTATTAAATGTTTCTCCTCTGTTTGGCTGTGTAAAAAGGAACATTTTCAGGTAAGTTATGAAGAGAGAAAAATCCATTTCAAAGATGTGCCTAATATAATTAAAACCTCAACTCCACTAACAAGTTGAGAACTTATCAAGTACATCAGGCCTCCGAGAAAGATCAAATGCTATTACAAGAACATCAGTTTGCATGGCCTAGAAAAGGAGAAAACTAGAGTAAGGATTTTATTAAGTAAACAATAGCAAAAAAAGAAATTTTTAGCATTCTGGCATTAATGAAAGATTGAAGGAAAATGGTCAGGAAGAATGGACTTTTTTGTGAAGGCTAATATAGAATGATTCTAGCTATTCTGTGAAATGAATTACATCATGATTTTTGAAAATTTTTATTTATTTTTTTAATTCAAGTGTAATTAACATACAGTGTTATATTAGTTTTGGGTGTACAGTATAATGAAGAAACAATTCTGTACATTTCTCAGTGCTCATCACGATAAATGTATTTTTTGTCTTATTCACCTTTTTCACCCATACCTTGACTACCTCCCCTCTGGCTACCACCAGTTCATTCTCATTCTCTGATTTAAGAGTCTGTTTTGTTTGTTTGTCACTTTTTTTGCTCTGTTCATTTGCATCATAGTTTTTGAAAACTGCTTAGGCAAAGTTAGAAAAGAAAATGATCAGTCCTTTTAATTTTGTGTGTGTGTACTTGGAAGAGAAAGATAATTCTCAGAAACCATCTGAAATTTGTAATTATAAATCACAAGTTTTGAATCAATGAATACAGAGTCTATCTGCGATATTGTGATTTATAGGAAAAATAGATTTGATCATTCAGATGATGAAAATATATTTCTCATAAGTATTTTGTCCTAGTCTGAGGGTCCTGGCTCACAGTCCCTAAAACCCAAGCATTTTCTGTTCAGTCTGCACTACTTTACCACTTGATTCTCATGTCCTTTTGCTCATTTATTAAATAGTAACTGATCAAAGAGTGCCACCTCTGAGAACTATAGAGACAAGAAGTGGGGATCAGGATGTTCACCTGAGTTGTCCTTGAGCTATAGGAATGCAAGGCAAGTAGAGAGCACCCAGCAGAGGTGCCAGAATAGAAGATAATTCTGGAGGGGTGCATGGTGACTCATTGTTATGCCTCCAGCTCTTGATCTCAGCTCATGTCATGATCACATGGTTTGTGAGATGGAGCCCCACATCAGGATCCATGCTGACAGCATGGAGCCCGCTTGGGATTCTCTCTTCCCCTCACCTGCTTGTGCTCTCTCTCTCTCTCTCTCTCTCTCTCTCTCAAAATAAATAAATTAAACTTAAAAGAAAACAAACTTGTTAAAAAAAAGAAAATAATTCTGGAAAAGGACAATATTGTTAGGTACAGTCAACAAGAATTTATAAGATGATCCGCTCTTTGTGGTGTCTCTGTAAAAGTTATCTCACTAATGGCTATTAATATATAATTAAAAAAAATAATTGACATTTATGTAATTAAAAATGTGGAATAAAGTATTTGGAGGTAATGTCTGGATTTGGGAGGATGAGAAAGGCTAGCAAAATGAAGATGTGATGACTGAATCTGAGAAGAAGATATCTGAGAAACCATCCTATAAGTCTCTCTACATCTGAGATGGTTGTACAATAAATAATAAAAAGTATTGAACATGAACTGCGGGCACAGTAATATATGAGAAATATTCCTTCAATATTTAAAATTATGTAATCTGGAAGTAAAGAGAAATTGTTTAAAGTATATATATAATAAGCAAGGTTCTTACTAATGTCCTTTTTGGTGATGGAGCATACCAATTTTTAAACTATATTTTACTGTGTTTGCTGCCATTAATAATTTTATTTGTCTTTACAACTATGTCTTTCTTTCATCAGCATCAAACTTGGGTTATGTTAGAATCCTCTCCCTTAAGAAATGACTTTACTTTTCTTTTTACCTATACTCTGAGTTTTCTCAATTTGAACACAATATCCCAAGCTGACATGGTAGCTTCAAACCTCGGTTTCATTATTGAGCATGTTGACATCTGAGGGATATACTGAATAAGATATTTGTCCTTTCAAGTACCAAAAATTGCCCTCAGCTGTTTACAGCAGAAAAGACCCTCAGAGAATTATCTGGAAGGGGGATTTATCTGGAAGGATAAACAGCAAAGTGCTATTTGGAAAACTTTACAGGTAGAAAGAATTTAATGGAAATAGATGTCCAAAAAATGGCTGCTTCTGGGGTACATCAGTCTCAGGTCTGGGAATATGAGTGGCTGCATTTCAAAAACGAATGAATAAAATTAAAACAGGAATAATAATAAATGCCTACAGAAAATTTGCATGAAAAACACCCCCTTGTAAAAATCTATTCTACAAAGGATTTTATGCCTGAGGTTTTTCTTATTGATTGAGACTCCTGACCAGTTTTCAGAGAAGTACTTAGCTACTCAGGTTACTACCAGACTCAAACATATTTCTGGACCCCTGCAGTTGATACACATTACTTGAAATTTTTATAAAGAAAGCAAGCTATCTTTACAATTCTGTAAACCAGTTCATGGTCTCTGTTGAAGCATACTAAAGAATATAGCTCACAAAAAAATAAGAGGAGCGATGAACTTGGAATTTCATATTTTCACTAAGTTGTCACTCAAGGACTGCTTTCTGCAGAGAATATCCTAGATATGTCTCCACAGTTCAAATTAACCAGAACAGCTAAGAATCCTGGCAGCTATAATTTAACTGCACTGTGAAAGGTAAGTCTTAGATCACTTCCATTTCCCTAAGAGTTACAAAATGGAGACTGTCTCACTGAATAAGTTCACTTTCTTTCAATCGTTAAGATTCATGATTAAATTACTTCATGTCTGTCGCAAAGAAAGTTGCTCAACTTAATAATTCTCCTTCCAGGTAATAGACCACTGAAGAAAGTAAAGGCCATTCTATATCTGAGACACAAGGACTCCATTACAGCACGTGTTAGTGTAATTATATCTTTAAAATTTTTAAAATTAATGGAAGGGATAAACACCAGCCACAGGATGATTTTTCAAAGAGGTAAATGCCAGTTTCAACTTTCATTCCTTAATATGACTTTTAAAGAAAAGCTGTCTTATTTGTATATTTGATATCTACAAAATAAAATACCTTTTTTTTTAATTTTTTTTCAACGTTTACTTATTTTTGGGACAGAGAGAGACAGAGCATGAACGAGGGAGGGGCAGAGAGAGAGGGAGACACAGAATCGGAAACAGGCTCCAGGCTCCGAGCCATCAGCCCAGAGCCCGATGCGGGGCTCGAACTCCCGGACCGCGAGATCGTGACCTGGCTGAAGTCCGACGTCCAATCGACTGCGCCACCCAGGCGCCCCTAAAATACCTTTTAAAGACCTGTACATTTCATTTTTGACACCAGAAACATTTTGGTACTGAAAATATACCTTACTCACCCCCATGAACTAGATCTTTATTGGATTTTAAGTTTATGGAGTAATTTGTATATTAGGTTAATTTTATTCTCGGTACT